TTTGTACATGATCCTTAATCTATATATATATATAGAGGCCTGATCCTGTCCAGCCGGAGGGACAGGACCCGCCGTCCGGCCGTCGCCATTTGGGGCCCTTCCCGGTGGAATGTTTCGTTGAATTTTTTTGAGCATGTTCTTCATGAAGTCTAGTTTATCCATACCGAATTTCAGCTAAAAATTCAATTGGGAAGGCAGTCAAATGATTTTTGGAAGTTAACTGCGCAGTTTATATACATATAAAACGCAGTTATCTTCCAAAAATCATTTGAGTGCCTTCCCGGTTGAATTTTTAGCTGAAATTTGGTATGGATAAACTAGACTTGATGAGGAACAAGCTCAAAAAAATTCATCAAAAAATTCCCCCGGGAAGGGCCTCTGATGGCCTTGGCCGGACGGTCCCTCCCGTCCCTCCGGAGGGACCTGATCTTTTCTATATATCTCTCCTTATATTATAAACGCCATCTTCTGTTACTTTGGTTCTTTTTCCGTTACCTGCGTCTTATTAGTCAGCTACTTCTGTCTTCTCCGTTATAAACACCTTCCGTTAGGCATCACAATGAACCGGTTTCAGGCGGTTACTTCACAACCGCTCACCAACGTTTGCTTCCCTGCCTTAGTCGTATAATTTCAATCACACCGTTGCCTTGCCTCTGCCGCGCTACTCATCTCATCGTCCTCGGGGTCTCACTACTCCGGTGCTCCCCGCTCTTCTTCAAACAAGGTAAATCTTACTTTGTACTACGTAGTTAGTTTTCTGTTCCTATTCATTCCAAAACTATTACGATAAGTATAATACACGGCTGCAACTAGTATATATATATATATATATATATATATATATATATATATATATATATATATATATATATATATATATATAGTACTCTTCTGGTCAGGTATACATGACCGGAGCCCCGTCCGGCCTCCTCCATTTGGGGGTCTTCCCGGTGGTATTTTTTGCTCAAATTTTTTGTGTAGGTTCCTCATCAAGTCTAGTTCATCCATACCAAATTTCAGCCAAAAATTCAATCGGGAAGGTCGTCAAATGATTTTTGCAAGTTAACTGGTCCGGAATATACCCCGGTCAAGTTAACTTGCAAAAATCATTTGACGACCTTCCCGATTGAATTTTTGGCTGAAATTTGGTATGGATGAACTAGACTTGATGAGGAACCTACACAAAAAATTTGAGCAAAAAATACCACCGGAAAGACCCCCAAATGGAGGAGGCCGGACAGGGGGAGTGGTCCGGCCTGGCCGGACCTGAATAATTGTATATATATATATATATGTGTGTGTGTGTGTATATACTATCCTCCGTTTCTTTTTAATTGCAACATGTTGAATTTTACACTATTCACGGGCTCTACTTTGACTAAATTTTACGCTATTATTTTATGATTTTTTTTTAAAGATATTGTTCAATTCATCTCATTACAAAGTTTCAAAATCCGATTTTTACATTTTGTTACTAATAGAGATTAAGATATAATTACGATCAAAGACGTGCGTTGGCAAATGTAAAATGTTGACCGTTGCAACTAAAAAAGAACGGAGGAAGTATATATATATATATATATATATATATATATATATATATATATATATATATATATATGTGGATTGGTTCATGTGAGAAAGAAGTCCCATGAGAGAAATGAGAATAAAATCCAGCCATTAGATGTATAGATCATTGGTGAAGATTGAACATAAATGACTAGTATTTTAGTAATTAAGTGTAACTTTCAAGGGTCATCTTAATCATAAAGGCAACGTGTATTAATAGTGAGGATAAGAAAGTAAAATGCTCTAATCCCACAAATCGTGCTCTTAAATTTATTTCCATTAAAAGTTCAATTAGTTTTGAATTTCTCAATGCTACGTAGATACTTTCCAATTAAAAATGTCGGATAATTGAATACAACCTTTAAAAGCTCATGTATAGTTTACTCACGCTAGAAATTAGTTTGTGTACTTAGTGCATTTTTATACTTAAGTTAATGCACTTTTATTTATATATTTTTAGTGCATTTTTATACTTAAGTTAATGCAATTTTATTTAAGGCACAATGCACTTTTTATATAATATTAAAATTGTTAGATTGATATCTTTCTCTAATACATGTTAAAATATGTTATGAGTATGTGCTAGTGCAAGAGAATTTTTGTGCACATTTTGTGAAAGTATTATGCAATTTATATATGTTCTAAACCTATTAGTATGTTACGGATAGATATAATAGTGCAATCAAATTTGTCTGCACAATTAATTAAAGTACTATGCACTTTAATTGTAGGTAAATGCACTTTTATACTTGAGGCACTACAACATACTAGTATATATCAACTTATATTACAACTTTTATTAATTAAAGTAATATGCACTTTAAGCATAAGTATATGTACAATAATGTATATGTATAATCAAAAGTTGGTAAGACTAGAATTCCTTTTATATCTCAAAATTGCAAAATTTGAATGCTAAATGGTCATGGTCAAAATGCTATAAGTGCACAATTACTTACATATGCAATTCTAAGCACAAGTGCACACTAGTATATGAATAATGCACAAAATTGTGAAATGTTAGCGATGTCTTTAAATAAATATATATAAAAGTGCACTTCCGTGATCTGATTTCTTTAATAAAATGAATTTCACTTTATTCACTTTCAAGGTGCATAACTGCTTGTCGTGATAATACATCTATTTCAATTTGTTCATATGTTTGTACCTTTTACACTATTCACATAATCTACCTTGACAATATTTATTAATGTATTACACTTTTTTTAATGTATCTCAAAGTCAATTTTCTAAATATGATTTTTATAATAATTTATATTTAAAAAAATTAATATATTAATGCAAAGCATGAAACTAAATGTTAAATGAAACGTATCCAAATGAAAATAAATGCATGATTGTTGAATCAAAAAAGTAGCGGATAAAAAAAATAGTTTATTTTAAAGAAAAGATTCGAATAAAAAAATCTCACTTTTTGTAATTTTTTATTGGTAAAACAGTAAAAGATTCAAGCAATATTAATGTAAAAGTACGGAGTACTTATTAACTTCAAAGGAAAGAACTTGGATAACGTAATTGTAGAAGTATAATTGAATAATTGAAGTCCCGTTAAGAATGGTAAGATATGCAAAATCACAAGTTTAACCCTCTTCGTTGGAGAAAAAATCTCAAAAAATAACTTGATCCAATGGTGTAGTATCATTCTTATTTCTCTCCTAAGATGATTTTCTCACTTGAACCTAAATATATATATATATATATATATATATATATTTATAATATAAATATATATATATATATATATATATATATAAATATGTATATATATATATATATATAAATAGAGTAATCTTCCGGTCAGGAATTTCCTGACCGGAGCGCCGTCCGGACTCCTCCATTTGGGGGCCTTCCCGGTGATATTTTTTGCTCAAATATTGTTTGTATGTTCCGCATCAAGTGTAGTTCATGCATACCAAATTTCAGCCAAAAATTCAATCGGGAAGGTCGTCAAATGATTTTTGCAAGTTAACTGGTCCGGAATTTTTATTTTTCGGACCAGTTAACTTGCAAAACTCATTTGACAACCTTCCCGATTGAAGTTTTGGCTGAAATTTGGTATGGATTACCTTGATTTGATGAGGAACATACACAAAAAATTTGAGCAAAAAATACCACCGGGAAGGCCCCCAAATGGAGGAGGCCGGACGGGGATCCTGTCCGGAATTTCCGGACAGGAATAATCGTGTGTGTGTGTATATATATGGTAAGAGGAGGTGCAAACATTGTTAATGTAATGACAAATTGTTATGTTAATATGGCAGGTTTGTTTCAACAAACGAATCAATTAAGTATAAAGTTTTAGTTTTTTAAAAAAAAGACTAAATTCTTGATAGAAATGTCTAAATTTCGGATAGAAATAAAGAAAGTGAAAAGGGCCTCACTCATTGATGTACTTAGACCTGGACTCGGGCCGGGCGGCCCGGCCCGGAATTGGCCCGGTTACTGTGAGGCCCGGCCCGGCCCGGAGCCCGGTGGGCCCACCGGTTCGGTTCGGCCCGGCCCGGCTGCTGGGCGGTTCGGGCTCGGGCCGAGGTTTTGGCGAACCGGCCCGGCCGGTTCGGGCCCGGTTCGGTCCGATTTTTAATTTATTTTTTTTTTTTGAATTTTTTTTTTACTTTTGGGTTGGATTAGGTATTTTGGGCCATTTGAGGTGGTTTGGGGTAGTTTGGGGTTGAGGGGGAGGGGTTGGGGGTTAAATAGAAGAGCAAAAAAAAAAAAAAATATTTTCGGTTAGGCCCGGCCCGGCCCGGCCCGGTTTGGCCCGGAACCGGAACCGGAACCGCCCACCGGCGGTTCGGGCCCGGGCCCAACTATCCTGGCCCGAGGCCCGGCCGGGCCCAGGCCCGAACCGGGCCCAAACCGGCCCGAGTCCAGGTCTAGATGTACTCAATTGACTCTTCTCTCGTAATTGAAATGTCTTGCAGATGTCCACACAAAACCAATGAAGTGCGGATATGTACAGAAAAGCCTATCAAATATCTTATGAACCAAATACGAAAATGTTTGAAATAGGGGTGAACATAACGATTTGGTTTAACCGAACCGAATCATACCAAACCAAATTAAACCGAACCAAAACCGGACCGTATGCAATTTGGTTTGAGCTTGATACTATTTCTTCCCAACCATATTATACCGAATGGAATCGAAACCGATAAAAACCGAAGAAAACCGAATAAATCCAAACCGAACCAAACCAAACTATTCAAAAAAACTTTCATATATTATTAAAAATTAACAAATCCAAACCGAACTAAACCAAACTAAACCGAACCGAAAAATAATATGATTTTTGTTTGGTAATAATTCTTCCAATTCGTTCCAAATCGAACCGAAACAAAACCGATAAACCGAACCGAAACCGACATGCACTCATGCACATCCCTAGTTTGAAACGTTTCAAATCAAAATCAGTACACCTCTAAGGTTATATTCCTTCCAATTTAAAGTGTAAAATAGTGCCAGTCGATGGCCCAATTCCTAAAGGGTGTAGAACTTTCCGTTAGGCGAGTCGCATGGTCGCGGTCGCAGAGACGATAGCGCTAGAGACGCTCAGCGGCTCAGACGCCCGCAGCCCCGCACGCATCACACCGCCACAGCCCCTCCCTCCGCCCGCCGCCTATGCCTGGTAGTCTGCTTCTCACTTCGGAGTTCTGGCTGCCTTCTGCTATTCCCCCCAGTAGGTAAGTCATAAGTGTTTATTCTTCATTTTATTTATTTATTTTAACTTAAGTAGCTAATAGCTTGAAATCTTGATTCTTGAATGTTCTGTTCGAGTGTTTGACTGTTTTAGTATTTCTGTGTTTAAGTGTTTTACAAATATGAACTTGTTCTGCTATTGGTGAATAATTTGTGTCATTGTGTGATTCCATTTGTGAAATTGAAAATGAGGATGGTCAATTTCTCAACATATTAATATACTCCGTATGAATTATGTGATTAAAACTAATACAACTATGATTTTATTAATTTTTGTCAATTGAAGTAGTTATGCCTACCCAATGTACTTCTAAATAGGAAAAAATAACACTGCATTCTTTTATTAAACCTACTACAAGTACAGAGAACATACAAGAGTGAAATGACTTGATTGAAACTCCAAATATTTCACCTGTTAAGAGGAATTAGTTTATGAGCGTTTGAGTCCATCTTACATGAGTTTCTTGTCGACTGTGTGGCCATCTTTATTGAAAGGAACTTGCCAACAATATCGATGTTGAGTCCGTCACAGATGAGTATGTTAGGGTCATAATGTTTTAGTTTCATAAATTGTATGTACTTCTTAAAAATATTGTTATGGATTTTAATCATTATGTTCGAAGTGTTTACTCGTTTAATTTTTTTTCATTAGGTGTTGGGGTGCAAAATCAAAGTTTTTTTCAAAATGGGGTGCAAAGTCCAATATCACCCAAAAAGTGGGGTGCAAAGTCAAATTCCCCCATAAATATATCCTTTTGTGAGGTGTTGTACTTTTTATGTTTTCACATATTATTTGGTGATTCATTTTGCATCAAAAGACATATTGACCTGCAAAATTGATAGTCCTTTTTTCATGAATATTATTAAATTAAATTCAAAAGACAAAAAATATGACTCATTGCAAATTTTTCCAAAAAAGTGACATATTTAGTGACTAGTTCTCAATGATTTATCATCTACGAGTATCTTGTTACTTTGAAATACATTATAGTAACTCTTGTTCAGTTACTCGTACACAGTGACTAGTCATATTTTTATCAAAAAATATAACTAGTCATATTTCTGTAAGGAGAAACTCTGTTAGTAATATACATGTCATTTTTAAAAAATTGATAAGCCCCCTTATATTTTTTGGTTGATTAGTTCGTGGGCCATACTTGTTTGGTGTTTACAATGTTTTAAAACTGTAAACAGATAAGTTGGTCCAACAAATTAAGACAAAGAATAAAAAACAATTAATGTAAGTGTTTCAGGTCTTGGACTTCACAACCAGTCTAAGTAAAAACATCCTAAGTTTTTTCAGGTGGGAACCATTAATGTACACACAGTTCCTTTTTTTTATATAAAAAGATAAAAGATTTCCAAAAGGGCTAATCTTTCTGTCTTGTACATGCAGTTGCAGGAGTAGAAAATACTAAATACCCATTATATATGACACTGTCTTCATGATCTTCAAAAGAAGCATTTATCATCTGGTCCAATCAGCTCATCTGGTTATTCCTCCGATTCCCATAAGAAACAATTTAAAGTTTTTTTCCACTTCACTTTCGTCCTCCGGTTCTTTCCATTCTGGGTTGAGAACAGATTCTGATATTGGAATCCTACTTGCTAAATTATCTCCTGGGAGCAGTGATGATGAGGTTTTCATGTCTCTCCAATCCGATCCAAACTGTGACGCCATCCAGCCTAGTCACAACCTTGTTGGGAAATTGCTTCATTGCTTCAAAGATGATTGGAAGTCAGCATTGGGAGCTTTTAGATGGGCAGAGTCACGACCTGGCTACAAACCCTTACCTGAATTCTACGATAAAGTGGTGGACATTCTCGGGAAAATGAAAAAAATGGATAAGATGTGTGCTTTTTTAGATGAAATGTCCGAAAACCAGGATCATATTGTTACTCTAAGCACCATAGGGAAAGTCATGAGAAGGTTTGCAGGAGCTGGGGAATGGAAAGGAGCAGTTAGGGTATTTGATGAGTTAGGCAAATATGGGTTTGAGAAGAACACTGAAACCATGAATTTGCTACTTGATGCACTCTGCAAAGCAAACAGAGTTCTCCAGGCACGTGAAATCTTTTTGGAGCTTAAGTCACACATTCAACCAAATCTAAACACGTTCAACATATTTATTCATGGATGGTGCAAAGCCAACCGTGTGGATGAAGCTCTTTGGACGGTTCAGGAGATGAAAGGGAATGGGTTTCACCCTTGTGTTATCAGCTACTCAACAATAATCACTTCCTATTGTAAGCAATCTGAGTACCCCAAAGCCTTTGAGCTTCTTGAGGAAATGAAGGCTCAAGGGTGCAAACCAAACGTGGTCACCTTCACCACAATCATTTCCTCATTGACAAAGATGGAGAGGTTTGAGGAAGCACTGAAGGTTTGCGACAAGATGAGATCGTATGGTGTTGAACCTGATACACTTTTCTATAACGCATTGATTCACACATTAGGTAGGTCCCGCAAGCTAAAAGAGGCTATAGATGTCCTCAAAGTTGAAATGCCGATTTATGGTGTGAAACCAAACACTTCAACTTATAATTCTTTGATTGCGATGTTTTGTTATCACAGACAAGAAGAACCTGCTTTAGAGTGCCTGAGAGAATTGGAAAGATCCCCACATTGTGAACCTGATATGCAGTCATACTTTCCTATGCTCAAGCTTTGCTTTAGAAATGGGAAGACTGATGATTTATTGCCCAAGTTACTAGATGACATGGTTAATGAGCATCATCTGAGTTTGGATCTAGCAGGGTATTCACTTTTGATCCATGGGTTGTGCAGATCAAATAAATGTGAGTGGGCATATAGGCTTTTTGAAGAGATGGTAGCCAAAGAGGTCACACCTCGATATCAGACATGCACTCTTCTTTTGGAGGAAATTAAACAGAAGAATATGTTTCATGCTGCCGAGAGGATTGAAGACTTCATGAAGAAAATGAAAAAATCCTCTTGAACTAGTGTATAATTTTTTTGAAGCAAGTGCCTCACCAATTCTGTGATGAATAAAAGTCAAAAGTTACTATCTTGTGTATCGTTGTCTTGTTAATGCTATACTAAATTCAAGGCTCTAAACATGGTACTACGTATTTTTGAATCAGACGTTGTGTATTTGGGATAAGATTCAGAAAATTGTGGCAATACAAGTCGTAGGAATGTATCGCTTACCGGACAGATACATGTGAGTACTATGAGAATATGTCAATGCTCTTCTTTTTTGGATGTTATTTTTTCTATAATGGAGAGAAATTGTGTGATAGTACCTCATCTTTGATAAAATAAAAAAAATAAAGCTCAAAATTTATGAAATTTGACCCCACAAAGACAGATTCAGAAGTTTATTTAAGACGGAAGAAGTTTATTTTAGTCTGCATAGCAATTTATTCTTCAATTTACTGGTTTCATAACAATTGTTCTTGAAGACATGTTTGATCAACTATTTTCAATCATTAGTTGATCAAGTAATTTTGTTTCTTCAATGAAGGCTTTCTGGCCCGGACAGCAGATATATGGAGTATTCCTTAGGAACTCATCTGCTTGGAAATAACTTCTCCGCAACTTTGTCTTCTCAAAAGGCCTTCATTGAAAATGTTTTCTTTCCAAGGGCTGGATTGCTATATTGATCACTTCCCTCATAGTTTTAGTACCAACATATACTCAAAGGGCTCGTTATATCCTAAAGAAAACTTTCCGCCCGTCATATATTTATATATATGAGGGCTGATCATGTACATATGGATGTACAGGAAGCTCCGTACGGACAAAGCCATCTGAGGCCCTTCCCGGTCGAATTTTTTGATGAAATTTTTTGAGCATGTTCTTCATCAAGTCTAGTTTACCCATACCAAATTTCAACTCAAAATTCGATCGGGAAGGCAGTCAAATAAATTCTTGAAATATATTGCACATTATATGTGCACAGAATGCGTCATATATTTGAAGAATTTATTTGACTGCCTTCCCGATCGAATTTTGAGCTGAAATTTGGTATGGATAAACTAGACTTGATGAAGAACATGCTCAAAAAATTTCATCAAAAAATTCCACACGGAAGGGCCTCTAATGGCTTTGTCCGTACGGAGCCCCCGTACATCCATATGTACATGATCATTCCTCTTATATATATATATATATATACATAATAAAAAATAAACATATTCATCAAAAGTCATCAAATGTTATATTAAATCAAACCATAAGAGGCCAAGCAAAGTAACATGTTCAAACTTCAAAGTACAATAGAATACCAAAACATTCTGAATCATTTATCAAAACAAAAATCTAAGATATGAAAATTTAAATTAATTAGATTGATTGACTAAAAAATTCAATCAATAACTACTGGTTTGAAATAGGGATCATAAGATCAATTATAAAAATTTAAAAGTGGGCCGAGTGGGCCCAAATAATACCCTTACACCCTGACCTCCTATTGCGTACGCCTCAGAGCGCCTTATTGCGTATCCAATATTGCGTACGCCTCAGTGCAATATTGCGTACATTACACTCCCAGCGCCATATGCAATGCCTTTTACAACATAGTCCAGGAATTAGCTGAGGCGCGCCATGAGGCGCAACTGCATTGCGCAATTACAAACAATGGGGTTAAAGTATCTTTTTATTATGAAAAAACTATTATGACCAAAAATGATGTTCTTAGGGGAAAATGCTAGTGTAAGAATAAATGTTGTGTTTTGAAATTAATGCATGATAATGCTTTTGCTTATTTGATTGATTTATATGATTTTTGGCATGCAAGATTAAGACATGTGGGTACTTCTTATTTAAATTGGTGAATGATCGTGGTTTGATTTCTAGCGAAAATAATCTAACACTAGAAAATTGTGATATTTGTGTAGAATTTAAACAAATAAAAAAATCATGTCTTTCCATATATAGGGAATCAAAATTGCTTGGCTTAATTGACACGGATTTTTGTGATTTAAAAAACACATTGAATAGAAGTGGTAAGAGATTTTATGTCACCTTCATTTTTCGAGACACGTTAATGTTTATTTGCTTAGAAATAAAGATAAGACTTAAGAGAGTTAGATCGGATGGAAAGAAGGGGCGAATATCTCATGAGTAATGCATTCCCTTTCACAAAAATTATGTATTAAAATATATTCACCCGCTCTATGCAATCTAACTCTATTAATCTTTTTATTTAATTGATTTTTCACCTTGGATTTATACATTACAAATTTATCGAAAACTTTCTTACAACCTCTAGTCATGATATATTCTAAATTACCTAAATCCGTGTGAATTAGTTCTCATTCCCTAAATGTGGATTAACATGATTTTTTGGTTTGTTTAGATTCTACACAAATATCACATTTTTCTAGCTTCATCTTTTTTCCACTAGAAATCAAACCACGATAATATAAGAACCACTCACATGTCTTAATCGTGCATGCCACACATCAAACGAATCAATCAAATAAGCAAAAACATTATCATGCATTAATTTCGAAACACTAATCACATAACATCTATTCTTACAATTGTCTTTGCCTATAAACACGTCATTGTTTGTCATAACAATTTTGTTACAATAAAAAAATACTTTCATTTCAGCTTTTCCCAAACAAGAAAGAGAAACTAAATTAGTGATTTCCCTTTATTATGCACTCTAACGGTTTTGAGTCCGCTAGGTCACAAGCTATTCATCTTCTATAGTAGTATAGGAGGTAAGAACATTAATACTCCGTATGTTTTTTACAAATGTGTTTGGTAACCCCGGGGTCTCCCATCCACCCATTGACATCATTAATTTTACAATTTTTAAAAAATGGCCGCAACAAAAATATAATCTCTTTTAATCAATTTTAAGCCTAACTTTAGGGGTTATTGTAAGTAGGGTGACAAATAAAATAACCACAAATTTTGGACAGACCATAGCAGCACATTAACAAACCAGTAGAAGCCCATTTGTTGCAAGGGGTCACTGGCTGGGAAAAATAAAAGCCGGCAGCCACTAGAATGGTTAGGAAATCATGTAACAAAGCGATGTGCTTCAATCTGGTTGATCTACTTTCTGAGATTGTTGGTGAGATATCATCGCCACCTGCACTTATGGATGGACCCGGGCCGGTTCGGGCCCGGTTCGGGCCTAGGCCCGGCCGGGCCTCGGGTCTGTTTTGTTGGGCCCGAGCCCGAACCGGTGGCCACTGGGTCCGGTTCCGGGCCGGGCCACCCGGTTAGTTTATTATTATTTTTTTTTCTTTCCCCCCCCCCCTCACCCCCCACCCCCCCCAAACCCCCCAAACCGGTCCTAAACATCAAGCCCAACTCAATAAAGCCCAAAAAAATGAAAGAAAAAAAAAACAATTTTTGGCCCGGGCCCGGGCCCGACCCGGCCGGGCCGGTTCGCCAAATACAAGGCCCGAGCCCGGACCCGCCCCCCTACTGGGCCTAGGCCCGACCCGGACCCGAGAACCGGGCCGGTTCCGGGCCCGCACAGTGGCGGGCCGGGCCGGTCCCGGGCGGGGCGGCCCGAACCGGGTCCATGCCTACCTGCACTGGCTGAAAACTTCCAGCAAAAGGTCTCTGATATCTTCCTCTTCGACAACTTCCAACGCAAGACTGAGCTTGGTTGTCGTCCTCTTCTGCTCTCATACGGATTCTGATTCCCTTCTTGTCGTATTTAGTTGGTCTTTTGTCATAGGAGCGCACATGCGAATAAAAAATAACAAGAAAGACCATGACTCCAGACACGTAGTCGCTGTCCTCACAAAGTAATTTCGACGGAATGATAAACATTCCCAGAATATAACGAGGCCTTTGACTATAAGAGCATCTCCAATGCTAAAATGTGCACGATGCACATGTGGCAGGAGTGATAGCCACATAAATATTAGCAAATAAATTATCTCTCTCCTTATTTGAATGATTTTATATAATTTTGGTAAGTTTTTCCCTGCAATGTCAACTGCAATGTCAACATTTAGACGGTCTCCTTGACATTGTGGAGAAAAACTTACTAAATCTGTATAAAATCATTAAAATAAGGAGAGAAAGAATTTATTTACTAATATTTATGTGGCCTTCTCTCATGCCACGTGTGCACCGTGCACATTATACCATTGGAGATGCTCTAAGGCGGAACGAGGATTAAGAGAGAAGTAATCACTAATAATCTTGCACAAGCATGGAAAGAAAACATTTTCAATGATGGTTTTGGAGAATATTTTCATTTTAAGTTGAGTTGGTAAGAGCTCCTCCGTATATCTAATATCTCATGGGTTCCATTTTCTATATAAAAGGAATTGGAATGTGAGTGGGTAGTTTTGGATCTAATATTGAGTAAATTGAGTAAATTGCATAAATGGTCCCTAAATTATCATCACCATATCGTTTTGGTCTTTCAACTAATAAATTTATCATTTTAGTCCTTATTCTATTTGATGCATTTTAATCCAGTCCCTCTGTTTCATTTGGCTGTTTACATTAATGGGGGTCAAACATACAATATTTATAAATTGTTATAAGACTCATCCTTAACTAAATAATTCCCCTTTGGCAAAAAAAGAACTAGGGTCCATTAACTAAATAGGACTAAAAAGTGACAAAATTGAACAAATGGGATTACATTTTTTAAATTCCCATAGTAGTAATATTTATGTGTGCTTGGACAAATATACCCTTGTAGCTTTTGAAATGTTTTAATTAATAATCAAATCATAAAAAATAATAAAATCGTAAAAAATAAAACAAATCGTAAAAAATAATTAAAAATCAATAAAATATTTATAAAATAAAAAGTTATTTTTTTCAAAAATAAAATAAAAAAATAAAAAATCGTTAAAAAAAAGCCGCCGTCTGTGCCACCCCCACCATAACTAGCTCCCATCACCGGAGAAATCCGCCAAAAAATGACATATTTTACAAAAGAGGCAGATTTTTTACAAATCAGAGGTGGTGGTGCTGGGATTATTATTATTATTATTATTGTTATTATTATTATTATTATTATTATTATTATTACTACTCCCTTCGTCCCGCTAATATTGTCTCATTTTACCTTTTCGGGAAGTCCCACTAAGATTGTCCCACGCCATATTTGGTAATTATTGTGTGGGTCTAAATCATTCCAACTTTATTATTCTTACTTTATCAATTTAATATCAACCACACAAACCTACTTTTCTTAATAATCGTGTCACCTTCTTTCGTCCCAATCTTAATGGGACGGAGGTAGTATTACTAAATGGAGT